TGAAGTGCGTGGGAGCTGGACCTGTCGTCACATCGAAGCTGGCGAAGCACCGAGCGTGTCCTCGCTGACCGAAGGCACACCATGCATCGGAACCTGTGCGCAACCACCGTCACTGCAGGGTCGAAACGCGAGTGCGGCTTCGGGGGACCAAGTCCCCCCTCAATCGTGCCTATGGCACGGCCGAGTATTTGCGCTTGGGCGTCACGTGGCGTGATGGTGCCGATCCGAGCGACCAGCCTGGTACAGAACTGGGCTACAAGGCGGATGGCGCTGCGCGACGCGCCATGCGCAGATCGCAGCTGGAGGGAATCACTATGCATGGCGGCACCCCATTTAGCCGACTGATCAGCCTGGGCATTGCCGACACGCTGCCATTCTGAAATCCGTCCCTCTGCTACGGCAGAGGCAGGAGTATGCGCTTTGACGTGAGAAACCTCCACCGACTCACCCCCACGGTCAGACACAAGCCTCCAAACCTCCCTCCAAAGTAAGGCAAGCGGGTCACTTGCAGCGGTGCCCGCTCCAACGCCTTGGCGCCAGACATCCACGAGCGGCTTGCAATCCGTATAAAACTTCATCTGAGCTCCCATATACCTCAGCGCCATCAAGAAACTGAAAAGCTCAGCCGCTGGCACAGATTGAATGAGACAGGGCAGAGGGCCATGCAGGCGAGCAACCACTCGCTTGCTGTCGTCAAGCGAACAGAGTCCCCATCCGCAGCGCCGTAAGCGAGAGAAACTTCCGTGCCTCCCCGACCCATCACCGAACACGTGCACGTCGAGCAGCAAGTCGGGAGACCGCACCGTCCACACGACTCGCTCCTCGAGGCAGGGGCTCGGGAAGAGCCAAGCAGGGTCAGGGACAAGAAAGCGCGTGAAAAGCAAGGTATCCACCGCAGCAGCTCGAGCCATGTCTAGCATTTGACCAGCCATGGCACTGCCAGCTCTGTAATCCCGACGGAACTCGGTATGCAGGGGGCAATCGTAGAATCGGTGCCAGGTAGATCCAGCACTCTGACAGGCAAGGCAGCTCGGGTTGACGGCTCCACCTGACTCGTACAGTCGCTCCTGCGACCAGAAACCTCCTGCAAACAGGCACCGCAGCAGTCCCTGATGCCTTGGGGTCCAGTCAGGGCCTCGGACAGAATGAGGCTGGAGGAGGGACCTCAGGGGCTCCACGAGAGGAGGATGAGGGCAGGGCGAGACCCACGAGGGATGCTTCGCGAGAACCTGGCGCCACACCCACCGCTCGGTGGCCTCATCAACTAACCTACTTCCATCCTTCGGGGAAATCTGTTCAATTGCAAGAGGACCTCGGTGGGTCTTCCAATGAAAAGGGTCAGATACAGACCAACCCAACCGCAAAATTGTCGCAACTAGCGCAGAAGCAGGTCCGCGAATGTCAGACCAAACTTGAGACACAGGAACTCTAGACAGGCGTGTCCATGCTCCACTCAGAAGTCGCGCCATATCTGCTCTGGGGGCCCATCCGTCCCACAGCGCCTGCAGCCAGAGGAAGATCGGGCTCCTGTTGCACTCGAAGGCGGGGTCGACCTGCGGCCCAGCCAGCATGAGGTCCAATGAGAGCGACCTGCCCGTGTGCCTGTAGACCATGCCCGCGCGCGCCAGTTGCCTGGCGCTCAGTAGGTGCGTGTTGCTGATGCCGTGAACTCCCACTGCCCAGAGCATCCCAGGCTTGAGGCCAGTCTGCACCAGCTTGATCGTCTTGCCCCCAGCTTTCGCGAGCCGCTTATACCGAGGGATCCGAGACGCCATCCTGCCCAGCCGCTGTGCACGAACCGAATGAGAAAGCCGATTTCCACCGCCAAAGTCCAGCCCCAGGTTCCGAACCGAGCGTGTGAGGAACCTCGACGAGGACGGGTTGACTTTCCTAAACACCTTCCGTATGCCTTGGCCGATGACCACCTGGTGCTTCTTGGGCAGGGAGAGAGTCAAGCCGATCTGCGTAAGCTCAGCCGCCAATAGGTCCTCGGCCCCCTTGAGTTCCCTGGCGACTTCCCATGCCTCGCCAATACGTTGCAACTGCAGATCATCTACCACGACCGCCACCTCGACATTCACGAAGCGAAGAGAGACGGCATCCACTGGCGACAAGAGCACCAGACGCAGTAGGGAAGTCGCGCAGCTGCAGCCCGCGACAATCGTGCGGTGCGTCACCACCACCTGCGTGGCGATGTTCTGGAAGAGCACCATTCTGTCGAGGCAATATGATGCGAGCAGGAAGCGAAGGGTCTTACCTCGGAACTTGTGCCGACGGGCTGCTGCAGCTAAAACATGGTGGGGCACGTGCTCATATGCTTTGACCAGGTCGAGCAGGGTTGTCCCTGCCGCTCTGCCCTGGTCTCTGGCCAACTCCGCCTTGAAACTCTGCTTCCAAACGCAAATGTCACATGAGGCCCCTGAGTCACCATACCAGAACCCGCGAGGGTTTGCCTTTTCCCAAGGGCCAGCAACTTTCCATCGGGCCCAGCGGGACCACAACCGAAGAGGCGTCGCGAAGATCCCAATAGGACGATCTCCCCCTTCAGGCGGCGGCTTCGGTAGAAGAGCAATAAGCAGCAGAGCCCAGCACCTCGGAATGTGAACCAGGCGCTGCATCTCGGCCCAGATCCGAAGGAAAACCGCGACAGCGCCGTCGTCGAGGAAGGACCAGTGACGGGGATGCAGGCCACAGACTCCGATGGCCGTGTGCGTGCTGTAGGTCCTGGTAAGGGCTAAGAGCTCCTCATGGGTGGGGGCCTCCAGCTCTGGCTCGTCATCGCACCAACCAAAATCAGGCTCTGGGAAAACTTGTCCGACACCCCAATGCTGATGCCACTTTTGAGCCCGAAGATCGGCTTCAGCAGCAATCCCCAGAGGCTCACCAGACGGCCCCGAGAAACAAGAGAGCCCAGATGCAGCCCACTTCGGAACCTCTTTGGTGAACCGGTGGCCCAGTCGAGCGCTCCCAGATAACGCATCTTGAACCCACTCACGCCAGGCTCGGGCCCGCTCCGAGGCCGCATGATGCTCGTGCTGAAGGGCCCACTTTCGGACCTGCCAGATCAACTCCTGGAGCTCCGAGACGTTGGCAGGGTTGACGGCCAGAACCCGAACTCGCCAAGAAGCCCAATGCTTGCAATCGGTGAAGGGGGACAGGTAGTTCACGAGCTTCCGCAAGAGGATCCCCGCTTGTTTGATCCCCCCCAAGGTGGGCGCAGGCCCATGCCAGAGATACACGATGTCCTGGAGTCGCCTTTCCAAGACACGCCACATACGGCCCTCCCCAATAGCCCTGGGGTGAGTGGAGGCAGGGGGGCCGAGCAGAGGGACTTGCACCACCTTGGGGGGGCCTCCTCGGCCTCGGTATCGTGGATCCCCATCGACATGAAATACGCGAGAAAGCGCCACCTCAGCCCTTTGAACCCACAGAGAAGTGACAGCATCCAAACGGTCCTTGGTACAATCCCCCTGGGAGAGCTGATCACGCAAGTCGTCCCACTCCAGGGGGCGAGGGTCGCATCCAACAGGGCGGTGGAGAGGGAACGCCGACGGCTTCTTGAGCCTGGGAACTGTCACCTGCCGCGGGTGGCCAGACATGCTCAACACCACAGGGCGGTGCGGTCTGGTACTGGTAGACCATGTCGCAACTGAGCAGCTCACCACAAACTGCTTGAGCGAGGAGGAGAGGACAAAGTAATCGATGGACGACCGAGACGTACCCAACTGACAGGTCCAATTCGAGACGTCAGAGACCACCTCAGCCTGAAGATCCCCAATCCAACCAGACTCGACCAGTTGCTCCGCTGAAAACTGAAAATCTCCACCCAGAATAAACGGCATGCCATACGCCCTCAGGACCTCCCCAATACTGTGCAGCAAGGAAAGATTTTGACCGCGGCAGCCGATTCCAGTGTGCAGGTAGACCGATCCG